ATCTTCGTCTCGAAGCCAGCTACAATAATCTGCAAAATAGAAATTTGTAGGGTACATGGGGGCGCTGCTGCTCTAAATGTTTATAACTGCAATTTTACAAAATCATAAAGTATTGTTTTTAACGGGTTAAAATTTTTTTTTTTCATTATTTTCCAGTGGAATATGAAAATTTTAGGCTTTAGGAAGAGAATGAAACAAGAATTAGTACTCTACCATTTTTTTTTGGCAATCCCATGAGCATTCAAATTTGTAGGTCGTGGGATAAACTACTTAACGTATCTCAGCAACATTAAGCGATCTAGGCCTACTACAGCTCATTCGATTCGTAATATGGTAAATAACGTCGTAAATGGTAAAGAACGGGTTGTTAAATTATGTGACCATTTATTTAAAACACAACAGTACACTTTTACTTAAAATTACTTAGTCTAGTCGTAATTAGTACTTAGTTGAAGTTGTGCCAATACCTGGTACATTGACTTGCCATGTTGACGTTAAATTAGTTCTGATCTCTGAGATAATGATTGTTGACGCTCTTAAAGCAGGCCTTGCATATATCAGCAGTTTACTTCTTCGTGTGTCAAGTTTGTTCATGACCTACGCCAAACATATGTCGTGATTGGTAATAGTGCTGACTGACAAATTCTAATTAGAGTATATTTATGAATGTACTCGATTCAAATTATTAAACATATTTTATATAAACAAAATGCGTAACTATGTTACACGAATATGAATTATAATATTTTAGGAATAATATTTCAGTATTTTTATAGTCTTGAATGTAATGTATCTGAAATAAAAAAAGCAATTTTGCAATAAATATTACGTTTTTTAATTTTTGGCCTTCATTCGTCATTTTTGCAATAACAAATAAATTAAATTGAACATATACCGGCTCAAATTGAAGGTCTTTTAGAATACTTTCATAATCTATATAGAAATTACCCATTACAACACTTACTTTAGGCAAAAAATGAAAAAAACTCAAAAAATACGTATTTTGCACTTATAAACGCTCATAAATAAACAGTAACCAAAAATGTTTTGTTGAATGAACTAGGAATTGCTCTTGAGGTTGCCCATTATAACCTAGGCCACATTATTTAAATTCCTGGATTACATTGTAAAATCACCATTTTTCCCCCCACAGCTGGGCTATGACTTTAATTAAGGGTTATTTGTATACAATATATTTTTATATGTTTTGTTATTAGATTGTTTCCGGTCTCATGTTTGTTTTTGCATATTTATCTAATGATTTGGTTGTTCCTATTCTCTTGTTTGTGGTACATGTCACATGGCCTTCTTGAAGATATATGATATCAATAAATGCTTTTCACAAATAAAAACTATAAAATTTGGAACTTATTTTATATCGATTTTAGGTTTAACCATCTTCCTAAAGGAGCCAGAGCTCTTTAAACATTTATTGCCCTAACATCATCAGCTTAATTCAAATATCTTCAAAGCGTCTTTGATAACATTATGTCTGTGATAACATTAAGTATATTAATTTAATATAATGTAGGTATTCATTTTTTTAGCAAGAACAAGTTTTTTTTTTTAATTATAGTCCTATTCGGATGTCTACTTATCTCTTTTTTGGCTTAATAATGGCGACATCGTCTAAATATGCAGTAATTTGTACTGCTTTGATGTTTATATGGCCGGTTACATTGCGTCTGAAAGTGCATCTCCCTGTCTCACCTCCATGTTGATGTAAGAAGGGGTGACAGTTCTCCTTCTACTCTTACTGCAAGCTTTTGAACGGTGCAACGTCATTTTTATAAGGCTGATATATTTTTTTGGTATACCTGGATTTCGGAGGTCTGCCTGCATTTTATCTCTTTTCACTATCAAAAGCTTGGTTAAAGTCTATATACACATTATATATTTCTATGTCGTATTCATAAGCTTTCTCTTACATTGTTCTAAGTATGAATATGCTGTCTGTAGTGGCTTTATTTGATCTGAATTTATTTTGATAATCACCAATTATATTTTCGGAGTATTCTGACAATCTAGTGTAGATAATGCCAGAAAGAATTTTGTATATTACATTTAGCAATGTAATTGGTCTGTAATTCTGGCATTCCCTCTTATCACCTTTTTTAATTTATTGGCTGTATAAGACCAACTATCCATTCCTCCGGCATTTGCTCCTTGGTCCATACCAACTTTATTAGGTAATCGATTCTTCCCCAGAGTTTCGTGTCCTCCATATTTCAACAATTCTGCCGCAACTAGGTCCGCTCCTGGCACTTTAGTGTTTTTTAGTTTCTTTATTATTTAAACTACTTCTTCACCATTGTCAGCATTTAGGTTTTCCTCAAAGTATTCTTTCCATCTCATTATAATTTTTTGTTTCTCTTTTAGTAGTTCTCCATCCTTATCTTTGCATATTGTCAATTTTAGTCTAAACGACTGTGTGATTTCTTTTATTCTTTTATAGAATTTTCTGCTCTCATGTCTGTTGTTATGTTCTAGGATTTCTTGTACTTGTTTTTTCAAATCCTCTTTTTTTTTTCTTCTGCATATTCTAGTCGCTTGTAATGTCTTTTTGTTATAAATTTCTCTGCTATTTCTTGTGTTTCTTTGAAGTTGGTTAAGCCTATCATGCCTTTTTTCCTCTACTGCAGTTCTGCATTCATCATCATACCATTCCGCATTTCTTTGCCTTTCGGCTTTTCCGACAGTTTTATCTGCAGATTCCGTTATTATTGTTTTTAATTGTCTCCATTCTTCTTCTGCAGTATTTATAACTCTAATACATAAATACTTTTGTTGAGACTTTTGCAAATTTGAATTTATGAGTTCAGTTTTTGAAATCGTAAAATTGCGTTGCATTTAAAGAATATTTATAATATTGTCCTTATTCTCACAAGAAATAAAAGTTTTGTATGCATTTTTAGAAAAATTATTAAATAATTTAAAAAATCTACTTTTGAAGCTATTTTTGCAATAATTAAGCATCAAATTTAGAAAAATAACCTTATAAACCCCCACTTTAAAAGATTTTCTATGATTTTTAATAAAATTGTGTCACTCTTCCATATAATTAATCGGTCTTCACCTTTAGTATTTAGAATCAAATAGCGATCTTACATTGTTTATATATTTTTTTTATTTATTTACTCTATAACCACAAGGGTTATTACCGACCTAAAAAATATAATACAGTTAAAGTTAGAAAAAATTACAATAATTAATACAGTCCTGAGTCTTTAAGATAATTTATTGTGTTATTAATGTTCATATTTTTTCAACTCTTTTATGTGGATAAGTGCTTGTAATATTGCAAACAACTCCGCAGTGTATGACGAAGTAATGGGATTGAATTTAAATTTTAAGGGTGTATTGGGTGTTAGGATGGCTTTCTTGAAATCGATCTGTGAACGTATTGGTATAAGTAGGGTGTTATTTATTACTAGCTATTTTAAAATATATGAGAGAGAAAGGTATTTGCATGGTAAACTTAGGGATGTTTCTCCTGTTAAGCATTGTAAACTTTTAACTGGTGTCGTTCGAAACGCACCTGTAGCTATTCGTAGAGCTGTGTTTTGAACAGTTTCATCAGTTTCATCAGTTAAAGATTTTCAATACTGATATTTTGCTTGATGAATAAACTATCGCACCGTAGTCGAGTTTGGATCTAACTAAAGATTTATATACATGTAATAATTTATTTTGATCTGCTCCTCAGTTTTTGCTGGAAATAGTTTTAATAAAATTTAATCCTGCTTGGCATGCTTTTTTGAGTTCTTCTATGTATGTATGTTTTTTCCAGGAGAGCTTTTTGTCGAAAACCATACCTAAAAATCTGATATTATTTGTGGAACTAAGGGTTTGATTATATAGCTTCAGATGTGGAGTTAGAGTGTTATGTTTTCGTGTGAATAAAATACATTTAGTTTTTGTTGGTGAAAACTGTAATCCGATAGTCCTAGAATGATTCTTTATATATTATTAATAATTAAAAAATCACGTTTAGTCTTCTTCATATTTTGTTTACTGTTATCACCAAATTTATCAAAAGCAATTGTTCTCTTATATTATGTTTTTACTGGAGAGAGGTTGCGATTTCTATCTATAGTGATCAGCGTTACTGAGAAAATGTCTGAATCCGGACTGAACTGAATCTATAATTTTGTGTTTCTACATTTATCATAATATCTACAGGTATCATAATATGATTCTTTTGTATTTTGAGTTTTCCCATCAGTTTAAAAGTAAAATGGGATGATGGAGTTAGTTGGAGTTAGTCGTGGCTTGTTCTGTTTTTTTATTGGTATAATGCTGGAAACTTTTCTGTTGGTTCAAAGAGCTTTGTTAGGGAAGGGGCGGAAAACATTAAGAATATAAAAGAATGGAGGGTTCTGCAATTGCATTTTTGCATTTAGAAAAGATATTTAGTAGTTATTCTTTTAATAAAGGAATCTTTAACGCAGATTCTAATTTGAAAGATTCATGCGAATATTGGATAGTAGAGATTATGTGTCTAGATATATTTTTGAATATAAGGTGTAGGATTTTAGAAATAATGTTAAAAATTTCAAAATTGTCTGCTATTAAACTATTTTGCTGAATTACGGTTAAAAAAACCTAAGGATTGTAAAGATCTAAAATATTGAAAACATAAATAAGGTGATTTTGTCTTTTATTTTTCCCAGTCTACCAGTTTTAGATTTTACTACTTTAAAATATTAGGTCACATCAATCTTAAGTAATGTACGAAGATAGAGCTCGCTTTTGTTCTTAGACTTCTTAGGTTAATCAACATTAGACTATTTATTGCAGTTATTGCTTATATAGTTATGTTTTCATATAACTAAATAGCATTTGGTCATCCATATTATTATTCAAGCTATTATAACTAAGATTTTAAGGTAGTATTATTTTTTATGTACTTTTAACCATTCATCGGACGATCAGAAATTGTAAATATGTAGTTATTTTTCTTCTTTAGTATAACAAATAAATACTTGTTTTTGTAGGATATGATTTCAAAGAAGTTGTCAAATGGCTACGAAATGCCGGGATTGGCGTTTGGGACTTGGATTTTACCCGATGAAAAAGAATTTGAAACAGCTATAAATTCAGCTTTAGAATGTGGCTATCGCCATATCGACACTGCTTACCTCTATCAAAATGAATCGCTACTCGGCAAAATCCTTAAAAAATGGTTAACTTCTGGAAAGATTAAAAGAGACGAACTATTTATAACGTCTAAACTACCCATGTTTGGAAATAACAAGGACAGAGTTGAAAAATATATAACTAAATCTTTAGCCGATTTACAGCTGGACTATGTAGATATGTATTTGCTCCATTTTCCTGTGGCGACTGCCGATGGAACTTTCGAAACACCTATTCAGAAATTAACTGCTGATGACACCAATCACTATACACTTTGGCAAAAGATGCAAGAGCAAGTCGAATTAGGCCGAACGAGAGCTATTGGATTATCTAATTTTAACCGAAAACAAATTGAAAATATTCTCACATTTTGCCGAATTCCCCCATCTTGTCTACAAATAGAAACGCACCTATTTTTACAGCAAAAAGAATTAGTAAGTTTTTGCCAAAAAAATAAAATAGTTGTAACTGGATATGCTCCAATTGGTACGCCAGGAATAAATAAGTTCTTAACATCTATAGGGCAAGATGAGAAAATGTTACCTAATGGATTAGATCACCCCCTTATTAAGTCAGTTGCTGAAAAATATAATAAATCTGCTAGCCAAGTTATGTTGAGGTATTTGATTGAAAGAGACATTATTCCTATTCCAAAAAGTTGTAACCCGAAAAGGATTAAAGAAAATATTGAAGTTTTCGATTTTGTACTGTGTTTTGAAGATATGGAGCAATTAGAAACATTAGATATGGGAGAACAAGGTCGCGCGTATGATTATGCATATTTTCATGAAACAGTGCGGAAATCGTCAGAGTTTCCATTTTAATGTTTGACCAAGCGGTGTCTGTTTTGGGTTGGGTAGATCGTATATGATCCTATTTTTTTGCTTTAATCGCTTGGAAATATTATTAGAAATGATAATTTCACTAAACGCACATTTCCAAAAATGGGATAAAATTTTTATTAAATAATTTGTGACAACAATTTTACAAATATATTTATTAGAAGATAAAATTAATTACAATGTGAAAAAACAATTATTAATAATAAATAAATAGAATAACTGTTTCGATTGCCATTTTTTTTTCTAAACTTATATAGAAAATTCAGCGAAGAACGCGTATTAAAAAAACATTAAGATTGGTCAGTTGGTTCCGAAGTTTAATCAAAGTTTACCGGCATTTACAATAGTACGGTTTGAGGTCTATTTTTTAAACAAATATCTTTGTTGTGTCCATAGTTCAGAATATGAGTGATATAACGGTAAAAATAGTAGAAAACCTCAGAAATTTTTTATATGTCTTGATTTGCAGGAAAATTTGTGGTTAAGCTAAATATATCCTACACTTCAAAATCTACCACATGCCAATATGTGCTAATTTTTTTTTAGGGGGAAAACTACCCCTTATTGTCCAAATGTATACAAGCTAAAAATAAAATTTATAACAGATACGAATCACGTTAAAATATGTCGGACAAAGATTGTTTGATACTCTTAAATATTATTTACTAATTTTATTAATTCTGAACCTATTTTTTTGTGGTATTCTAAAAGAAACAGATGGTAAAGCTGAAAAATCAAAGAAGCGGCTCTAATTATGCCAAATGAGACCAGTTGTGTCGCAAATTCCTCGACAGAATGCAATAGGATCTAGTTAACCAATATTAAAAGAGTAAATCATTAAAAAATACTATTATTAATAAGTCAATAAAATATCGAGGATACGTCATTTATGTTTTTAAATATGGCATATAAAAACACCACCGAACATTTCGCTGTAGTGAACTACCGTATTTATTATATTTTGTAGTACTTGTGCGTTGCTTGCTATTAAGACAGTATCATCAGCAAATCTGATGTTGTTTATGCTGATTCCGTTAATGTTAATTCCGCCTTGGACCTGGTTTAATGCTTCTCTGAATATAGACTCCGAATATAAATTAAACAGTAGCGGTGATAAGACGCAACCCTGTCTCACTCCTAGTCTTGTTGGTTAACACAGTCAAATGCTTTTCGATAGTCAATACTAGAAACAAAATACATACATACCTAAAATGAAGTGGTTTGCAATAATGGATTCATTTTTACAAAAAGTGAATAAAATAAGAAATACATTATCTAATTTGGTAAGTAACTTAGCATTTCTTCTTCTTCAAGTTCCACTCCTATCGGAGATTGGAAATCATTCTGGCAATTATAATTTTATTGATTACTCGCCTGAATAGTTCAGTTGAACTGCATCCAAACCATTCACGGAGATTGCGTAGCCACGAGATTATACGTCTTCCTACGCTTCTTCTACCTTTGATTTTACCCTGCATTATATTCCTTAGTAGTTCGTACCTTTCACCTCTCACCTCATATTAGCATGTACAATACAATTATTATAGTATTTATGAGTCATTACATGTTACATCTAATCCAAATGACAATGTAAAAAATCATTCAATCTTTCCACAAAACAGCTTCTCTGTGATCATAAAATAGTCAAAATATCTGTCCCTTAATTTTCTAGTACATTGCGATGAATAATTACTTACTACAGTTGCAGCTTTTTTCAACCCAGATGTTTCAGATCTTCAAGATCTAAGGACTACTTTACCTTGATTAACGCCTTCTTCATCGACTGAATCCATTGGTAAATAGAGATTCACCGATGTAGCTCGAAGCCAGTTACACATTGTACAACAGATCTTGACAACTGCGGAAACTTTACAGGATATTGGTTGTTCAAAAATCCAGAATCTGCTGGCTAAAATGCCAAATACGTTTTTCACAATCCTTCTCGCACTACTTATTCTGTAATAAAATACATTTTGTCCAAGGGCTAGTTCAGTTTTTGAAAATGGCTTTAGTAAATAATGGTTGATTGAAAAGGCCCTATCTCCAACAATAAACCCACCATCCGGCAACATATTATTTTCCAGTGCTAAGTAAATAGAACACTGAGAGAAAAACCCTCCATCCGATGCTTTTCAATTATATTCAATATCAATGTAACGAAAACAACAGTTACCAACAAAATGATACTATTTTGTAATTATAATACTCGTTTTCAACGTTAGGAGAAGCACGAATGTTGATGTACTTCCTATCAAGTGCGCCATAATACCCTGAAAAATCCCACCTTGTGCTGAAGCCACTTTTTACTGTTTTCCATTCATCTACTGCCTAAGGTACCTTACATAATTAAAGACCCAAACGAAATAACATATAAAGCAACTAGCGGGCTTTTGACGCCAACCCATTAAATAAAGTGCCTAATTATAATATTGTCCATATTATTATTTTTTATTTTTCAGGGTGGCCATGAGCAAGCAATAAATACAGATCGTACACCTGCAGACGCAGTTAAACAAATATAATACGAAACTACTAACCGTGATAACAACAACGATCCTACGCCTGAAACTGTACCGTGCGTAAAAAATAACAAAGACCAAGGAAAAAGAGGTAGCTGTCTGTATCAAGAACTACAATATCTAGCAAACAACATACAAGGTGCAGACCATTCAGAAGAAGATAACAAGTTTCATATTTTTGGACAAAGTGTTGCCGCTAAACTTAAAAAACCACCGCTAGATCAAGCTATTACTTGTCAAAATGAACTACAAGGCATCCTAACTAGATACATACTGGTTAATGTTACTAAAAATCAGAACATAACTTCTACATTAAATAGGGTGGTGCCAGCTGGCTTCACATTTGCTTCATCTATTGTGTCCTCTAGAAACCATAAGTTTATATAGTCGCATATCTGCATTTTCTGAATCTGAGGGTTATTACAATATAACACCATCATCACATTTGCAAGAGGACCATGACATTCTTTTAGAATCTGTGAATATCAGTTTCGGTCATAACATTAGCATGCAGTAGAAATACTTTTGGTTTAACTGTACTTTACAACAATCAATGATTTATGTACTTACCTTCATAAATTCTTTTATTACTTCATATGGAATCGCAAACTTCAGAAACAAATATTGAAATAGCAGGTCGCGATAAATGATATTGTTGAGCCAAATTTCGATAACTTTTTCGAGTAGCTAAGAATTACAATATTGTCTGGAATTTTATATTGGCAAAAAATGGGCATTCTCATTGTAAAGTTAGATCATTGCATGTCAGGATAAATTTTTGTGAGTAGAATATCAAAGATTTTGATGACATTCTCACACAGTTGGTATATTCTGTAACATCTTCTACAACAAGCATCTTCAAAAGTAAACTTGAAGCACCACGTATATCTCTTCGTGCAACCTACTATTGTCCACAGTCTTTTGTGATAGTTTTATTAACAAGTCTTCCAAAACATCTATCATCTCCTCATATATTAAGTTTAGAGTTATTTTGAATATATTTTCTAACTTTTTTGCCAGTACCACACGTTTTCCGTCACAATTAATATTGGTTACATCTTTCTCGAAAAACTCAACTTAATATACATATCATCGTGCAAACTCTTGTTATTAGTATTAAGTGTGAGTTACTTGAGCGATATACTAAAATAGCAGGTGGATTCTACTGTCTTGGCAATCATTTGGTGCTATATATATAGTAGGTACTCGCCTTCAGTAGCTCGTACTAGTTACTGGCGTGGTGTAACTGACCTAACCTAACTAACTAACTAACCTAACTTAACTGCGATAAGTGCGCAGATTACCATAAAATCCAATAGATTTAGTTTCTGATATCTCCTTGACTATGATTTACACTTTAGCGCAATTACCGAAGTGCATTCGCACAGAACGCACGTTAATAATTTGATGTTCTTCAAACCATTGCAGAACAGTACATTTAAAGTTCTTACTATTAATAACGTACCTGAATACAACACAATAACGTACCTGAATTAAGACACGAACTAGAAATTAGTTTTCAGGAAGTAGAAATAGCCATAAACTAGCGGACCAACTCGACATCGAGTTGTTTAAATGAAATTTTTATTTTGCGAGAACAATTAAGAGATTTGCATCAATAATAATGCAAGTAAAAAGTGTATTGAATATCACGAAATATTTCGTCGACAACAATGTTTTTTGTTCCAATGTCTCCATTTTCTGAAAACTTTTGCTTGGCACCGGGAGTTATGTAAACTTTTACTTTTTACTTTTTAATAAAAACGAAACTGGAAGTCGACCTCAAAACCGGAATGCAATTTTTTGTTCATCAAATGTTGACATGGATATCATTTAGCAGTTAATTTTTCATGCTGATCACGAATCCGGTGTCAGATTTGCTCTATCTTGACGTTTTATGCGCGTTTCGGGTCACTTCCGGTGTCGGATCGCAACCGGAAGTAAATATTTAGATTCGTCTAGACGAGACCTTTCGATCCATATATACATTGTGGGGTCTAAAACTTAAAGTAAATTTTAACTTCCGGTCATCTCAACACCGGAAGTGAATTTTTGTACCAAAAGTATATCTTGACAATCTCATACGTATCTAATACTAATAATATTCCGAAAAAATATTTTAATTATCTAATATGGTTTTTGAGTAAAGTGGTGGATAAGAAAAGGGCTTAGCGTTTTAGTATATAAGATTCGCTTAAAAATAGAAAGTCACCAAAACCAGACGGTATAACCAACGAGCTTCTAAAATACGGAGGAGAAAGTATAACCTTAGAGATGACAACACTTATACAAAAACTAATATTGCACTTGTAAGAGATAAAGAAGACCCCAAAAATTATAGAGGTATAAATCTACTGAACACCGCACTTAAGTTTATCACAAAAGTCCTAACCAATAAAATCAATAAACTAACAACTTTATCAGATGAACAACATGGATTCAGATCCGGAAGATCCTGCGTAGATGCGATATTTGTACTAAAACAAATCACAGAAAAGGCCATCGAGTACAATAAACCAGCATATCTATGTTTTATAGACCTGACAAAGGCTTTCGATCGCATCCAAGTCGAAGACGTCTTACACCTACTGTATAAAAGAAACATACAAATCAATATTATCCAAACCATGGAAAACATTATGTTATGCAGACGACGCCGCATTAATCGCTGAGACAGAAAACGAGCTCCAAAGATTAACACACATCTTCAATACAACTGCCAAGAAATACAATATGATAATATCAGCAGAAAAAAACCAAATCTATGACAACATCTAAATACCCACTATGTTGTAAAATCGAAATTGATGGGAAAATAATAAAGCAGGAGGCAAGTTTTAAATATCTGGGAATAGATATAACTAGTTACGGAGATGTTGAAACAACAAAGCTTAAAAGCAAGTAAAGCGGCGGGATCTCTTAATGGCACAATCTGGACGAACAAACATCTAAGACACGACACAAAAACAATAATATAGAAAACAGCAATTAGACCTATATTAACATACACAGCGGAGACAAAACCTGGAACATCTAAAACGAGACGACTGCTAGAAACAACAGAGATGAAAATGCTTTGATGAATATCAGGGAGAAGTCTGTTGGATAGGGAGAGAAACGAAAACATAAGAAGAGCATGCAATATAGCAGACATAAATGTATGGGTGACAAAACGAAAACAGGAGTGGAACGAACATATCAGTAGAATGGCAGAGGATAGAATAGTACGAATAACACGACATAAGTCACCAAATGGACGAAGAAGTATTCGCAGACCACGAAAAAGATGGTGCGTCAATTTAAACAATTTAGGAGGCTAATATTGAGGAAGAACCAGGCTTTAAAGCCTACATACTAGAAGGAGGAAGAAGGAAAAGACTATTAAAACGCACACATTTCGACATTTCGGGCATAGAAATAATAATATTAATAATAGTCTCCATTTCAAATGCCGATATGGATGCCAAGCCCAAAAAAACCATCCAACATCATACTGGGTGCTGCCAGGCGTTTGTCGGAACTGTTTATAAAGAACGCCATCACTCAGTAGGAAAAATTATCCACCAAGAACTAGCTGACATACTGGGACTTCTCCACGCCGAACATCTTGCTTAGTATTTATACTTCTCTGACAGAATGCTTGAAAATGACAACTACAAGCTATACTGGCACCGCATTGTGCTCACAGACTAACTAGTGGCGCATAATAGACCGGATCTTATTAAGCAATAATTTGCATGTTAAACAACCAAAAGATCACCAAGTACAAAGATCTAGAAATATAAATTAGGAGACAATGGAGAATGAAAAGTATCCAGACAGTACCTATTATTCTATTCACCTGCATAGAATTGGGCTCTGGTGGGACTCTTTCCCACCAGAGCTCAATCCTTTTGATACTCTAGGTATCTGGGAAATGTTCCCCTTAGAGGGAATGTGAGTCGTATGGCTAAATCTGGATGATAATAGTCTCCTTTCATACCGCAGCGCTAGTGTAATTGGTGGTTATAACAGAGTACAAGGTACTTATTTACCTAGGCATTGGTCATAGTATCCAAAATAAAGTCCGGTTTATACCAAATGATAAAATCATTGTAGTCTATGAGGCACCACCTGACCGATTAGAGTTAGTTGAAGAAAAACGATGAATAATTATAATTGTTTTAATGCTCATTACTAATCAATTGTATGCCCAAATTTACCTGTGTATTTTAAAATACAATTTTAATGAATTTGTAGTGTTTGTTTTTATGAAACTGCTATTAATTAATACTTGAGGCTACCTTAGTTAGCAGAAAGACACTTAGGAAAAGGAAATTCGGGAGAATCCTTTATTTCTTCAGAAAAGAAATCAAACTTCAAGATACGCCCAGACTCTTCCATATCTAGTTCTTTTATTTTCTTCATGTCGTCATTGTCAAGAGAAAAATCAAAAATCTCAATATTTTCCTTAATTCTTTGTGGAGAAACGCTTTTTGGGATAGGAACTATATTTCTTTCTATCAGATAACGTAACAAAATTTGTCCTGGAGTTTTTTTGTGTTTTTTGGCTATAAGTTTAATCGTCTCGTTTTCCAGTGCGTTTGGTAATTCTCTTTTGTTTTGTCCGATTGTTTTCAAAAAATTATTATAACCAGGATTTCCAAGTGGAGAAAATCCGATCACTGTAATATTATTTTGCTGACAATAATCAACTAACTCATTTTGTTGTAAATACACATGAGACTCTATTTGTAGACACGCCGGTTGAATATTGCATGTTTTCTTTATATTTTCTATTTGTTTTTGTGTGAAATTACATATCCCTATTGCTTTAGTCCTATTTTCTTTTACTTGTTTTTCCATCTCTTTCCAAACTTCATTATGAGCGGACATTTCTAGTTTGAGTTCATGAAGAGGAGTATTGGCTTTTCCTATATTAGTACCTACTGGAAAATGTATTAAATACATATCTACATAATCCAGTTCTAGATTATTTAAAGACTTTTTCAAGAACAGTTCTACCCGATCTGTGCATAGACCTGATATTGGCAATTTAGTTGTGATAAATAAATCTTCCCGTTTTACTTTTCCAGAAGAGAGCCAGTCTTTTATTGCATTTCCAATTATTGATTCATTTTGGTAGATATAAGCAGTATCAAAAAGACGATATCCGTAGTCAAAGGCTGCATTTAAAGCTGCTTTTAATTCTGCTTTCTTGGTTGACATCCAAGTTCCTAGTCCGATACAAGGTATTTTGCGGCCGTTGTACATAATTTTGTACAATGGATGTGCCATATTTTTAAATTAAAAAAAAAATTTTACTAATAAGTTTACAATAAATATTTATTTTGAAAAACTTCATTTTGGTTTGAAATCTGTCAAACTCATTTATGTTTGACGAAAATTGGGTAGCATTTGTAAGGTAACCATTGGTTTGCGAATGAGTTATCATTAAATTATAAATAATTACGTTTTACAACTTATCTTATTCTTCTTCGTTTTTTTTTGGGCTTCGATTATATTTTCATTTTATAAATTTAATTGGAAACTTTTTTATATACTAAATAAAACTGAAAAGTAAATTTAGAAATTTTCGAACAGCTTAAAAAGATAGGAAACGATTTTGTTAAATCGTGTTTCGTTCATCATTATCAAAATAGATGGCACCATATAGGTGGTCTTAGGCTTTCCATCTTTTGATTTTCCTTTGCCAATCTGGCATTCAGTTCCATTCTTCCTAACATTTCTCTTCTATAACAACCCCCAGATACGTAAAATTGACTACTTTTTCGAAATTATATTATATTCCCTTGATTCATTAGATAAGTCTTTTTGCTCTGTGTTTCCGAGTATCATGTAGGTACACTGACTTTTCCTGCTTTATTTCCAAGTCAAAATATTTTACCTCTTATTCTAATATTTTTAGAACATTTTATAATATTTTTCTTGTTTTCGTTAAAATAGTAAGACCATCAGTGAAGTCCAGGCTGATGTTCTTTGTTAAAGATGTATCCAGACGTATTGGTTTTCATGATTGTTTCCAATACCAAATTAAAAAGCACTGTGGATAACTGATCTCCTTGTTTAAGACCTCTGTTCACTTCAAATTCATCCGATGTCAATCCTCTCCATACCACATGATTTCGTGTAGTATTTAAAATCATTCTTACTAAGCTAACCAGTTTTACGGGTAATATATCATACGCTTGCAAAAATCTATGAACAACGCATGAAGGATTACGTTTTGTTCATAGCAGGTAGTCTGGATTTCTTTTAGAGTAAAAATTTGATCTGTCACTAATCTACTAACTCTAAAATCGGCCGGATAGTAACCTAGTGTATCTTCAGCAAAGTTATTGAGTCTCTCTCTTAGTATCCTGGCTAATACCTTGTACCAAGTATCCAACAGAGCAACAACTCTGTAATTTTCTTACTCCAATCTACCACCCTTTTTATATATGGGGCATAATAAAGCTTTAGATCAATCTTTGGGCATATGTTTCACTTTCCATATTCTCTTGATAAGACTATACATCCTTTTTTGTAGCTTTTCCCTTTCATTCTTTAGCATTTTCACAGCTATTTCGTTTTCTATCAGTCTTTTGTTATTTTTGAGCCCATTGATTATATTTTTAATGTCTTCTCCACTAGGCAGTTCTATTATTATGCCATCATCCTCTATAAAGAAATTCTCATTCTCATTTGTATTTTGCTCATACAGTAGTTCACTAAAATGTCTCTCCCCTATACACATCATTGATTCTTCTTCACTCGTGAGTGTTCCATCTTCTTTTTTCATGTATGTATTGTAATTTTGGTATTTCCTTTCAGTTTTTTTAACTTCATGATAAAACAACCGTATTTCTTTTTTTTAATGTTTCCTCTATTTCTCCTATCTATTATTACAAAAATATTATTAGAAAGATTAAAATCAGAAATTAATAAAAACTAAGAGAAAACCAAGTAGGATTCAAGTGAACCTGTCCAACTGTGGATCAGATACGTACACTGAGAATTATCCTGGAACAGGCTACCGAATACCAAAAGAAGACATAGGGTAATGGATCCAAAGATAAGACCCTTTTTCTAAACCTCTTAGTAATTGTAAAGTTTAAGAATTCAAAAGTCTTAAATTAAATAAATGGCTGATAATTAACGCCAGTATATTCAAAAGGTTTAAAACTGTAAAAATTCACACCTTAAAAAAGGTATCTTAACATGAGACCATGTGGTATCCTAATATAAGATACCACATTATACAGGCTGTAAAGGTGATACAAATTATTTGAACGCATTGTTCTGGAAATCTTCTTTATGTGCCGTCTTCTACCGAAGGTTGGCGACCATCAAACGATAGGTTTCTCTGTTTTGTGCCGCATGTATTATGTTCGCAGCTTCTGGTATTTGAAATCATTCTCTCAAGTTTCTCAGCCAGGATTTCTTCTTTCTGCCCAAACCTCTTCTACCTTCAATCTTGCCTTCCATTCCATCATTACGGAACACATGTCCCAGGTATGACGGTATAAAAACTGTATTAATACCACAGATAGCATGCAAACTTGGAGCAAGTTTGATTTTTGTTTGATTCTAAATTGTTGTGTCAAATATGACGAGGTAAGTTTGCGACAACTATTACTGCACTATTGTTAAGTTAAAGATGATGTTTCAAGTTTGTGGCAACATTGTTGCAAATGATGCGCAGTTATAAAAAATATGTCTCTTGTTTGGTCGCGTGGAGTCTGAGAACCCAGGCGTTGCTCGACGACTAAAATTGCGCTGACTTCAATACGGATGTTTCAACTCAACGAAGGCAGATACTCGCCGGGATAGCGTAGTTGGAGTAGATACATATAAATGGCGCTTAGATATTTGAACAATGGGCATATTAGACCCCACTAGACTAACGCTAACTTTTTCCGTTATCTGTCCTCTGCTACCTATTAGCTCTTTGGTATTTTGCGTTAGTTTTTCTTTATGGTTCAGAACTGTCGGGCAGCACTCAATTTCCGTTTCTTTTAGAGCCTTTATTATGACCTCATTTGCATGATCTACATCTTCTATTTCATCTTGCAAGTCTTGTATATGTCTGGTTAGTGTATCTTCATACAAGTCGTTATTTTTAAGGGGAATCCATTTCTATTTTCTTGTTTTTAAGATCACCTTTGTTCTTTCCAATTTGACATTTAGTAGTCATCTTAGCTCGAATTAATCTGTGGTGGCTTCAAATTGAAAATTTGTTGAGTACTTCTACGTCTTTAATTATTTCTTCTCTGTTTGTTATGATATAATTGATTTCATTTTTAACACTGCCATCTGGCCTAACCCATGTTCATTTACGCTGAGGCTTTTTATCGAAAAAAGAGTTCATCATGAATAAATTTTCCTGGTGTAAGAAGTTCAGCAATTTTTGCCCTTCTACATTTCTCTCGCTATAGCCATACTTACCCATTGCTACTTCTGCATCATCTTGTTTAATCCTCATTTTCACATTAAAGTCGCCCATAATTAAAAGTGAAACTGGAACAAACCATGAAGTGGAGATATCCAGGAGTGGCTAGTATACCTGTTGAATACAAAGCACGTAGTGGTCGTGTGTATTAAGGTATAAAAAAAATGCTTATTAAAAGCTTAAAACTTTTATTTTAAAGAAGATCTTTTCGGAATAAACTCATTCCATCATCAGTTTAATAAAAAGTTGTCAAAAAAACATTGTATGGTCACGTGAAAACATAGTAGAGAACTCCGTATTAAAAAACTATCCTCAAGGTGTTTATGAAGGTAAATGCAATAGACTGTTGATTTGTAGATTACTAAAAACTGAAAATGGGGTCATCTTACATGACCCCCTGTAGTTGGTGAAGTTTTATTGACTTCTGATCTTTGCTGGAGTCTAGGGCTAACTCTATAGTTAGTAGAACTCTAGAGTAGAAGTAATATGCATTTGTTTTTTTTAGTTGCCTGATTTTTTCCGGGGATTCTTATTACATTCTGCTCCAAATCTGTTTAAACCGCTACCTTGGTTGTTTGGTCTTTTGTGGAAAATAACTTTTGGGATTTTAAGCCATTAAATGTTGCCTGCCTTATAGGAATTTGTAATACTTTTCGTTCACGCCAATGCCATTTCTGCTATGTGGTCGAAAAAATTACCGCTCACGCCACGGTGCGCAGAGGTACTCTTATAAAACCTGTAATGTCAGTCTGCCTGGGTCACATTGACCGAGACGGCACCACAGTCACTTACAATTCTCTGTCAAATAGACCTCGCTGGCGTACAGAGCAATTTTGTTCTCGGTCACATAGACCGAGACGGCAGGCAACGTGTTAAAACGGCACGCTTGGCTAGTGCGTGTTGGTGAGTTGATTTGAAAGGAGAGGAGAAAAGGGTGGAGATGTAAATGCTTTGGGTTTGGACAAATGTAAATGCTTTGTTTTGTTTCCCCGGGGATGGGAAGAAGGATAACAGAGAACGTAACAATAAAAACAGACATCAAACAAGGATGTATATTATCACCGATGCATTACAAACATTAAATTATGGAAAAAAAAACAAGGCAGGAAGCCGTTCTTGAATTTATATATAATGAGAAGGAAATGGAAAGGTATTGGTCACACACTCAGGAAATATGCAAATAATATAACGAAACAAGAGTTTCAGTATGAGCCAATGGGTAAAAGAAAAAAGTGAGACAAGGCAATACTTGGAAAAGGAGCATAAAAAGGGAATATAAATCAGTCTGATTAAGCTGGGAAAAAGTCAAAAATAAAGCTAAACATAGAAATGAATGGAAGACAATAACAAGTGAAATAATAAGTAAAAGACCGGACAAAGTATCTATATATCAAATAGCGACTAAGGAAATGCGTTGGTCTAGCCAAATAACTTTTAGCCCTACCTGGCTAAGAAACGCGTAACGCTCCCTTCGTTTCACTTAGGAGCTTTAGTGATAGAGAGAGGGAGATATATTCAAGGTTACTGTTAAAACTACATTATAAATAAGAACAAAATAATAATTAAATTATGAAAAATTACTTATACTTATAATTGGAAGACAGGGAGAGGGTAGAGCTTGAGAAAAAAGTCCTAATTATATTATTTCATCTCTGCTATAAAAATTTATATAGGTATATATAGGTATAAATCTACTGAACGCCGCACTTAAGCTGACCACAAAAGACCTAAGTAATAAAATCAATGAACTATCAACTTTATGAGATGAACAACAAGGATTCTGATCCGGAATATCCTGCGTAGACGTCGTATTTGTAGATCAACAGAAGACAAATCACAGAAAAGG